TTGTTGTCTTCTTCTAGAGGGAATGAAACCTAATATTTTTGCATTAACATCTTGACAAGGTTGTTTCTTGCTAAACTATCAACTAATGACTATTACGTAGGCAAATTATTCATCTTCTTTAAGCCTTAGTTTTATCATCTGCAATATAGAGTCATATGAGTACCCACGGTCCAGTTGTGAGAGTGAAATGAGAAAATGCAGACATCTTATATGTATATTGTATACTAAGCATGGTGCTGATAACACCAAGTTCAAGGGTTCAGATCCCTGCACCAGCCAGCTGCCAAAAAAACATATGTATATATATATATATATATATACACACACATACACACACACACACATACTAGTACATAAAAACACACACAAATAAGAGAAAAAGACTGGAAGAATATTTATAACAATGGAGCTTTCTGCAAGACGGTATTAAGGTGATTTTTATTTGCTTCTCTACATTTTTATCACCACACCCACTAACTTTCTGCTAAGAATCTGTGTTAGTTTTATAACCAGAAAACACTGTTTTTTAAAAAAGATAACAGATGGGCCAGCCTGGTGGCGCACTGGAGAGTGCGCCGCTTGGGAGTGCGGCGGCGCTCCCGCCGAGGGTTCGGATCCCATATGGAGACCGGTTCCCGCTCACTGGCTGAGCGCAGTGCGGGCGCAACACCGAGGGTTGCGATCCCATTACCGGTCAGTAAAAAAGACAAAAAGGAAAAAAAAAAAGATAACAGATAAGATTAGCCAACAGGAGAAAGGAGTCAGGAGGAGATTGTCTAAGTGTCTATATGTCTCTGACCCACCAAGCCTATGAGAAGTGAGCTAGAGGTCATCTCAAAGAGGAAGGACTGGCCTGTCACTGAGAAGAGGAGGTGCTCTCAGGAGCCACTGTCAAGTTCTGTGGCCTCTCTCCCCAGAGTAATGTAGGAGACAATGCATAATAATCTTCTGTCTTTTGCTTTCAGGGGTCCAAAGCACCACAATCTCTCTCAGACACACTGTAATGAGGCTTTCGCTGATTCCCCCAAAGCACTTTCTTCTAGGGAATTCAAAGAGATGAGCAAAGCCTACAAGTTTAGGGCAGGATTTAAGGTCTCAGACCTGGGGTTGAGCACTGGCTTCTTCGCATATTGCTGAGGGAATTAAGGGCCATAACTTACCCCAATTATCTTATCTGTAAAATGGGGGTAATAAAAGCATCCAATTCACAGAGTTGTGAGGAATCCTTGATTTAACCTGGATAAAGAGCACCTGCAAACAGAAAGCACGTAATAGATTCTTAATTCTAGTACATTGCCTGATAAGAGGTATGTAACTTAGTATAGAATTGCTAATTAAAGAATGAGTGAATTTAGATAGGCATTCAAGAAATATACCTAGGTGGGAAAGAGCAACTGTCAGAATAATATATAGAGTATGACTCCCTCTGTATATGTATAAATATAAACATCCATCATCTCCTCCATCATCTGGGAGGAGACCTTTTAAGATAAGGAATGAGGTAGGTGGCAATTTGTAGAAATAATCCCGGAGAGTATTTGCTTTGGTTTGAATGTGTCCCCCCAAAGTTCACGTGTCAGAAATGTAATCCCCAACCTAACTGTATTAAGAGGTGGGGTCTTTGAGATATGATTGGTTCAGGGCTGGCCAGTGGCTCACTCAGGAGAGTGCGGTGGGGATAACACCAAGGCCACGGGTTTGGGTCCTCTTTAGGGATGGCTGGTTAGCTCACTTGGGAGAGCGTGGTGCTGACAACACCAAGCCAAGGGTTAAGATCTCCTTACTGGTCATCTTTAAAAAAAAAAAATGTGATTGATTCAACATGAGCTTTCGAGGGGAAAAGAAAAAATAAAACAGGTAAGGCCACGGGTTTGGGTCCTCTTTAGGGATGGCTGGTTAGCTCACTTGGGAGAGCGTGGTGCTGACAACACCAAGCCAAGGGTTAAGATCTCCTTACTGGTCATCTTTAAAAAAAAAAAATGTGATTGATTCAACATGAGCTTTCGAGGGGAAAAGAAAAAATAAAACAGGTGATTGGGTCATGAGGGCAGAGCCTTCATCAATAGATTAATCCATTCACAGATTAATGAATTAATGGGTCAATGGATTAATTAATAGATTATCATGGTAGTAGGTTAGTTATCAGGAGAGCGAGTTTGTTATAAAAGCCAGTTTTGCTCTCAATGCACCCCTTGCAACGTGATGCCCTGTGCCCCCTCAGGATTCTGTAGAGTCCCCACCAGCAAGAGGGCCCTCAACCAGTTGTGGCCTTCCCAACCTAGGACTTCCCAACCTCCAGAACTGTAATAAATAAATTTCTTTACAAATTACCCTGTCTTGGGTACTCAGTTATACCAACAGAAAATGAACTAAGACAGTACCTTTTTTTTTTCTTTTTGACAGCTGGCTGATAAGTGTATCTGACTCTTTGACTAAGACAGTATCTTTTATGTACAGTTGAATTAAGCAGGGTATTGCAGGGAGGCAAAACTGGTTTGTAAGTGCCAATAAGAAAACTGAAACCTAATCCATTATATTGGATTAGGAAAAGGAGACTCACTAATTTTTCTTAGACTATCACAAAGGTTAGTATAACCAACCTACAAAGGCAATGAAGATGAGGAGGAATGTAGAGAATGTGGTAGCATTTTACACGTAAAGCTCATAGTACTTGCTAGCTGTTTAGACATGGGTGTGAACAAAAAGGAGGCTTCAATAATGACGCTAAGATTTTTGGTCAGAAATGTTACAGGGAACAGGTATGGCTGTCTGCCGTCTTTCAAAAATAGATCACTTAAAAATCGATTGTTGGTGAAAATGGAAGTCAGCTTTTATTCAGGAATATAGTGACCTGAGGAGGGACCTTAGACTAACCCTTCTCTCCAGTAAACCTGAAGGAAAATGGCCAAACTAAAACCATCTCTAAGACTCAGATTTACTGAGGGTTTTTTAAAGAGGGGTTTGAGGGAATGGAATGTGGGAAATGAAAAGGAGGAGGGAGGTAGATGTGGGCTGTGGGGGTTCCATGCAAGGAGTCAGGTGCAAGGTCTTGCCAAGGTTCTGTCTGGTTTCTGCTCCTATCCTTGCTGTTATCTCAGGCTTCTGCTTCTTACTTGATGTCTTCCTTGGTTTCCCAGCATCTGGATAGTATGTGCAAGTCTGCAGCTGCAGGCTGACTGGAAAACAAGTTTACATTGATGTAAATGATGTCATCTTGCCCCACCACCAAGACTCAAAATGTCAAATAACCATGGGAAAAGAGGGAACTCAGAGAAAAAAACTGTGTCCTTTTAAAATCTTTTAGAGCCCATGTGGTTTTAGGTCCCACTATGGCTTCAGTCCTGATCACTCCAACAGAAAGAGAAAGGCATCTTCTGACAGCTGGAACTGGCCTGAAACTGTTAGCTAGGGCTTGATGCCCTCCTGTTAAACATAAACAATTTCACAGAAGGTCAACATCAAACAAGGCTACTCTGTCACTTTGTGGATCAAGACAAAAACAGAACCGCTTGATAATCACATCCGTGTTTACATGGACAAAAACATGAACATTGTCCAAAGCACAAAAATGACTAAACATCTCCTTATCCTAGCTAACATGAAGGATTGTTACTTCTTTACCAGTTACAGGTCTAGCCTGTCTTCATTCCTCCCACCTTCTAAAAAGATTAAGATACCCAGTCACAGAATTATGCCTGCTTCCTGACAGTATTAGTTCCAGACCAAAGCTGCTTTCTTGAACCTTTCCCCAAACCACGTAAGAGAAGCTCAAATCCTATAAGAAGCCCTTTCTTACAACCCTCTCTCTCTGTCTCTCTCTTTCTTTCTTTCTTCTTCTTGTTTTGTTTTGTTTTGTTTTGTTTTGTTTTGTTTTGTTTTGTCTTTCAGTTACTGGCATGGGGATTCGACCAGTGACCTTGGTGTAAGGCTGTGCTCTAATCAATTGAGCTAACCGGCCAGCCCTTACTCCCTCTTACAGAGACCCTCCGTCACTGGAATGAGTCGATCCATAAATTCATGTTTGTTCAGTTACAGATGTGTTCTTGGTGGTCTTCGGCTGAAGGGCACTGACACTGGCATTCGCAACTTAAACTGAATGATGTTGCCACTGCCCAAAATAGAAAAACTGGGGCATGGTGAATGATTGGGGTCGGTCAACTCTGCTAGCCCGTCTGCCAAGCCGAAAGAGGAGATGCTGTCACCCATTTCTTCATGCCCCAGGCAGAGGCTGGAAGGCTTGCCAGTACCTCTCTGATGCGCTCTGGGGCGTTTCCCGATCCTCCATGCTGTTCTAAGGCATCACCACCTTCATTTATATTAAAACATAGACGGGGGCTGGCCAATTAGCTCGCTTGGGATCGTGGTGTTGACACCAAGGTCAAGGGTTCTGATCCCCATACCGGCCAGCTGCCATTAAAAAAAAAAGAAGTAATTAATAGCCGATATTTAATGAGTGTGTACTGAGTGCCACACAGTGTTCTAAGGGCTCCAAATGTTTTAATCCAGATGCTTAAGGGCGAGCGGGCGGGTGCGGGCTCGTTAACCCTCCCCACGACCCTCCGCCGGAGGCTTCTCAGCCCAGTTTACAGATGAGGAAACTCATCTCCAGAGACGTTAATTCCAGAGGTTAAGAAAAAATTCCTGTTTTACTACTGCCGAAACAGATACAGAGAAATAACATAACTTGCGGAGTAAGGATTCAGACCTCGGCGATATTCTTCCTTTCTCAAGCCCTAGCGAGTAAGTCGAGAGGCAGCCATCTTGTTTATGGTCGGCTAGGACTGCAACTCCCGGCATCCCTCGCGGCAGCGTCCCTCCACACACAACAAATCCCGGCGTGCCCCTGGGCGGCGCGGGGTGGAGGGTTCTAGAAGGCGTGACGTGGGGTCGGAAGTGGGCTCAGAGGCGGGCGCTTCTCAGGAGTCACGGTGGCCGCAGCTGCAGGGCCTGGGGACGCGGGTGGCCGGGGACGCGGTCGCAGCCTCGTCGTCACGCCGACCATGGCCGCGCTCGGCCGGCCGTTCAGCGGCCTCCCCCTGAGCGGCAGCTCGGACATCCTACAGCCGCCTCCGGCCTTCGCCGGCCGGGCCTTCCCCTGCTAGCCCGTCTGCCAAGCCGAAAGAGGAGATGCTGTCACCCATTTCTTCATGCCCCAGGCAGAGGCTGGAAGGCTTGCCAGTACCTCTCTGATGCGCTCTGGGGCGTTTCCCGATCCTCCATGCTGTTCTAAGGCATCACCACCTTCATTTATATTAAAACATAGACGGGGGCTGGCCAATTAGCTCGCTTGGGATCGTGGTGTTGACACCAAGGTCAAGGGTTCTGATCCCCATACCGGCCAGCTGCCATTAAAAAAAAAAGAAGTAATTAATAGCCGATATTTAATGAGTGTGTACTGAGTGCCACACAGTGTTCTAAGGGCTCCAAATGTTTTAATCCAGATGCTTAAGGGCGAGCGGGCGGGTGCGGGCTCGTTAACCCTCCCCACGACCCTCCGCCGGAGGCTTCTCAGCCCAGTTTACAGATGAGGAAACTCAGCTCCAGATACGTTAACTGTGAGTCTCCTGAGGTCGCACAGCCCGGGAATCCGGCTCGAACCTTGGCCCGGCTGCGCCCGCAAGAAGCGAAACTTTTCCAGTTGGAACCTGGGCGACTCGAGTCCAGGTGTCCCCTGCCCTTCCAAACTGCGGCGCGGCCGCCGAGGTTAACAACTTTCAGCGCCTTTCGGACACTCAGTTTCCTCATCCGCAAATGGGGACAGAAAAGTGAGATCTTGGAAGTAAAGTGCTTGCTTAGCACAGTGCCTGAACCACGTTCTTGTTCCCTTCCCAGCGTTGGTCCTCCCAAATGTGTCTCCCAATACCGTGACAAAACGACAAGTTTAGATATCAATGTCTGGTTATGTTGGGACCACCCAACATTACCTGACTTCCCTTGTGACCTGTATCTATTCCACTCTGCAAGGAAAGGGACATGTGGTATGTTGGAGGTGAGCAAAATAAATGGAGCAAGAAAGGATGCTGAAAACACAGCTCAAATCAGTTTCTCAATTGACTGATTTTTGTTTGTTTCAACAGTTTTTCAGGTCGTTGTAAAAAGAAACACAAGCGAGAGGAGGAAGAGGATGATGAGTAAGTTTCAGGGGCCATTCTCTTTATGATCACTGTTAATGTAACCTATGTTATGTCCTGAACTACTTGTTTTAAGAGAGAAGGTAAAATAGTAGGTATGTCTCTGGAAGGAGGCACAAGAAACTAGTAACATTGGTTGCCCTTTAGGGAAAATAACCGTGGCTGGCAGGCAGGTCAGAGGGAAACTTTTAGCTTTGTAACTGATTGTAATGTTTGAATTTTGAGCCGTGTTAATATTAGATGTACAAAGTAAAAGAAGTCAAAGGATTCGTATTGAAAAGTCTTATTCACCACACTCCTAGTTCTCTTCCCCAGGGTCAACCCCTGTTACCTGTTTCTTGTGTCTCTTTTGAAAGATAATCTAAAAACTTGCAAGTTTATAATCATATACCTCTGGCTTTTTGCATTTGTAGGAAGATACTGTTCACGCTGTGCAACACGTTGATCTTTGCATTTTACTCCTGTAGCTTGTTACATATCAGCACATAGAATTCTACCTAATTTCTTTTCAACAGTTGAATGGAATTCTATCATAGAACTAGATACAGATAATTAACCAGTCTCCTATTGATGGATTTCCAAGTTATTTCTAATCTAATTACAAATTCTACTATGACCATTCTTTTGAAGTTCCAGTGTATATTTTCAAGTAGGTGAATGGATTCCTTAATGTTGAATTGCTGAGTCTCAAAATGTGTGCATTTTACATTTGGAAAAAGAGTTGTTGCCAGCTTATACTTCTGTTAACAATGGGAATGCCTTTTTCTCCATCGTCTTACCAGAACTATATTTTCAAACTTTTGAATTGCCTCTTAATTGATAGGTGAAAAATTACATCTCATAGACAGGAAGTCTAACAGAAAAAGAAGTGGAAGAATTCCTCAGAGAGGATATCCAAATGCGCAACCAAATAAAGAAGTGTTCAACCTCATCAGTCTTTAGGGATATGCATATTAAAGCCACAATGAGATACTACTCTACTGCTAGATACTGGAGAGTATTGGAGCTATCAAACACTATGGGTGGGAGTGTAAATTAGTACAAGCACTTTGGAAAACAGTTTGGCATTATCTAATAAATTTGAAGGCCCGAGTACCCTTTTAATTAACAATTCCCCTCCTATGTGCCCTACAGAAGTTCATACACTTGCACACCAGGAGAAACGTACAAGAAAGTTCATAGCATCCTTGTTTATGATAGCTCAAAACTGGAAACAACCCAAATGTCCCTCAGTAGTGAAATGGATAAAATAAATTATAAATTCATGCAATGGAGTTTTATACAGGAAAAACAAAAACAGACTTCACTTAGCAAGGTTATGTGTCTTATCAGCGTAATATAAGCAAAAGAAGCATCACAAGAATGTACAAAGGGACTTCAAAAAGCTCATGGAAAAATGGAATTAAAATATAAAAATAAAAATATAAACTTTACTTCTCAAAATAACCTCCATCAAGTTCAAAACACTTTTGAGAGCAGTGATTCCAGACATTTAATCCATCCCTAAAGAACCAAGAGTCCTGGGAATTTCACTGTCAGTGCAGTCTTTTATATCTTAACTAGAGAAAAATGGGTACCCTTTAAAGATTTTTTAAGATTAGGTAACAAAAAGAAGTCAGAAGGAGCCAAGTCAGGACTGTAAGGACCTAATGATTTCCCATAGAAACAAACTCTCGCAAAATTGCCCTTGTTTGATGAGAAGAACAAGCAGCACTGTCGTGGTGGAGAAAGATTGGCAAAACTTTCCTGAGTGTTTTTCTGCTAATGCTTTGGCTACCTTTCTGAAAACACTCTCATAATAAGCAGATGCTATCATTCTTTGGCCCTCCAGAACAACAAGCAGAATGCCTTAAGCATCCCAAAAAACTGTTGCCATGACCTTTGCTCTTGACTGGGCCACTTTTGCTCTAACTGGACTACTTCCACCTCTTAATAGCCATGGCTTTGATTGTGCTTTGTCTTTAGGATCTTACTGGTAAAGCCATATTTCATTTCCTATTACAATTCTCCAAAGAGATGCTTCAGGATTTTGATCCCACATGTTTAACATTTCCATTGAAAGCTCTGCTCTTATCTTTAACTGATCTGGTCCAACAGTTTTGGCACCCATCAAATGGAAAGTTTGCTCAACTGTAATTTTTCAGTCAGAATTGTGTAAGCTGAACCATTTGAGAAGTCTTTGGTGTTGGCTGTTATTTCTGCTGCTATTCGTCGATTCTTTTCAGTTAGGGCACAAACAGGATTAATTTTTCCTTACAAATTGATGTGGATGGTATGCCTCTGTAGGCTTCATTTCTAACATTGTCTCATCCCTTCTTAAAATGAGTTACCCATTTGTTAGCTGCTGATTTATTGGGAGTATTGTCCCCATAAACTTTTAAGTATCAGTGATTTCACCGTTCTTCCACCTAAGCTTCGCCATAAATTTGACGTTCGTGCTTGCTTCAATTTTAGCAGAATTTATATTGCTGTAATAGGGGCTCTTTTCAAACTGATGTCTTATTCTTCCTAGTGACTCAAACTGGATCCTGTTCACACATTAGTACAAGTTTATTTTGGTACAAGAATATTTTGAAATCCATGTAATAGTTTTTTCATAATACATATTTTCCATGAACTTTTTGAAGATCCCTTATTTACAGTATAATTCCCCAAATATAAAGTTCAAAAACAGGCAGAAGTAGACATTATTGTTTAGGAATGCATACCTATGTATGTGATAATGTATTTTTTACAAAAGAAAGTAATTACCGTAAAAGATTGAGAGTGAAGTGTTTACCTCTAGAAAGTAGGGAATAGATTACCATTTGGGGATGCTGGCAGTGTTCTGTATCTTAGATGAAATTTTCATGCATGTTTGTTGTGTAATTATTTAAGTTGTATGTTTGATGTACTTTGTGTAGAATTTTATAGATAAGAGTAAAGAAGGGCCGGCCCGGTGGCGCACTGCTAAAGTGCGCTGCTTGGGAGTGCGGTGGCGCTCCCGCTGAGGGTTCGGATCCCACATACAGACCGGTTCCCGCTCACTGGCTGAGCAAGGTGCGGGCGCGACACCGAGGGTTGCAATCCCTTGGCAGTCCCGGTCCGGTACGGGCGCGACACTGAGGGTTGCGATCCATTGCCGGACACAAAAAAAGACAAAAAGGAAAAAAAAAAAAAAGAGTAAAGAAATTAGATCACTATTTTAATTTGTATTTGTTCGTTATAAGAAATATTGAACATCTTTTCCTTTAAGCCATTTGTGTTTAATTTTGTGTGAACTGCTAATGTTTCTGCCAATTTTTTATTGGCTTATTGGTCTTTTTCTTATTGATTTTTAAGAAGTTTTTCTTAAGAAAATTAGCTGTTTATTGTGTTTATTGTGTGTGTTGCATACGTTTTATTTAAATTTGTTGTTTTTTAACTTTGGATATGCTTTTTTTTTTGGCCACCAGAAACTTTGGATTTTCTAAACTTGTTGATACATAGATTCATAAAACAGTAGATTTGGAAGTTGCTGTAGTTTAAAAACCACTGGATCAGGCAATAGTTATGTTCTTTATTGCCTTGGTATTGCTTTGGAAAACACAGGAACCTTTTCTGCTTTCCAAAACATCACATATGTTTAAACTATCCAAATACTACAGAAATATTAGCTAAACATTCTTAATAATTTCTTATGAGTTAAAACTAATTATAAAGCAAATATATTGTTTAATAGTTGTTTCTGATCAAAAATCTAGGTTTGAAGGGCTGGCCCATGGCTCACTTGGGAGAGTGTGGTGCTGATAACACCAAGGCCACAGGTTCGGAACCTATATAGGGATGGCCGGTTATCTCACTGGTTGGGCATGGTGCTGACAACACCAAGCCAAGGGGTTGAGATCCCCTTACCGGTCATCTTTAAAAAACAAAAAATCTAGGTTTGAGAGAGCATTATTACTTGTCAGATTTTATATCACCAGAAACTTTTTTTTTTCCCCCCTTTTTTTTGTCTTTTTTCGTGTCCAGCAACGGATCGCAACCCTCAGTGTCACGCCCGTACCGGACCGGACGGGCAACGGGATCGCAACCCTCGGTGTTGCTCCCGCACCTCGCTCAGCCAGTGAGCGGGAACCAGTCTGTATGTGGGATCCGAACCCTCGGTGGGAGCGCCACCGCGCTCCCAAGCGGCACACTGTAGCAGTGCGCCACCAGGCCGGCCCCTATATCACCAGAAACTTTAATGTTGAGTTTCACAGTAAATAGAATAGAAATTTTTCCTTGTAAGTACATGCTGCTTCCTTTGACCTTCAGTTTAGAGAAGCAGAAGCTGTAGTAGCCATTAATGATTTTTTTGGTTACAGAAATGTGTCCTGCTCTTGAGGCTCCACTTGCTTATGTCCAGGCAATAAAGTACTTTTGGTCTAAATACTTAGATAGGACAGGGCCGGTTGTCTATTTAATTAGTTTCAGACAGCTTTCAACTAAACACTGGGCATGTTGTAGTCCTTGCAAATACTAGTTCATGGTAAGCGTTTGAACAGTTGAACCTCCCTAAGAAGGCAAGGGGATTTAGTAAAAATGGCATAAAGGTAGGATTCAGGAGTTCTGGGGTCTGGTCCCGAACATCTAACTTACTGTTTTATTGTGACACTTTGGAGGGTCCAGGTTAGCTTTTCTAGGTCCTTGTTTCCAAATCCGTAAAAGAAAGATCTTGGATTTGATGGATTGTAAGGTTTCTATGAAGGACAAATTTGTCTAGGAAGTAAAGATAGTATGTTGCAAAGTGAAAGAAAAGTGGAAAGTTGGACCCCATTATTGGTCAGGGACTGATGGAGCCCAATGACAACCTCTGACATTTTGAAGGGGACCAAGAAATCAGTGCTATCACCTGCACCTGTAGTACTTGGAACAGAGTTGATGAGGCATACATTTTTACCCTAAGGGAATATAGGAGAGCTGCTGGGCCACCTGTCTGTATGTTTGATGGAGCAGCAGCAGTATGACAAAACTGTGAATTGCTCCTTTTTGTTATTTTTGGTTTCTTTAGTTCCCACTTGACCTTTCCAGAGCCAAATTGGTAGGAATGACTTTAAAGTTCCCATACTGAACACTTGATGAAAAGCAGTAGAAGGAAACATCTCAGGTAGGATGTGAGAATGACAGAAAAAAAAAAAATGCATGATTTCCATCTTGTAATCACACACTGTCAAGAAAGCTAGAGCTTTTTCATACAAAAATTTGGTTAGAGATAGGGATAATATACATTTCATTTATAGTAGTTGGAGTTTTTATTGAATTTTTTCTTTTATTTATTTTTTCCAGTTGTCCAGTAAGAAAGAAAAGATTAACAGAAGCAGAGCTTTGTGGTGGTCCTAATGACTGGATTCTTTGTGCACATCAGGATGTAGAGGGTCATGGACTAAATCCATGCCCTAGTGGCCTTTCTGTACCTGGCATGTTAGATGTTATTTGTGAAGAAATGGATCAGACAACTGGAGAACCCCAGTGTGAAGTTGCTCGAAGGCGGCTTCAGGAGATTGAGGACAGGTAAATGAGCAGTGTATATAGCTGGCTTGTTGCTGTTCCTGTGGAACATCTCTACTCTTTTAAGCTAGTTTAATTCATCACTTAGTGATACCTTAATCCTCAACCTCTCTGAGACTATAAAAATCAGAGAATTCAAAGTGTATACTTTAAATTAAAGTGAGTTCTTCTCATAGATCTGTACTAAGCATTTTCACTTACTATCTCTGAATATTAACTTTTGGTTTATGAGATAGTTTTCTGGGACAGAGTCTTCAAGTTTGATCACATCATATGTAACACTTTTTTCTTAAATGTTGAACAACCCTTTACTGTGTATGCTTTTTTCACCCCAGTATAGCCTTATTTTTTTACTTGTCTTTTGCCATAGCACTTGTTGCTTTTATCCTTTTTTATTTTTAAATCTTTGTCCAGTTACTAGAAGAATATGTAATAGCTTGATTAAATTTTTTTTTCTCTCTTCTTCTGCTGCCTTAACTTATTTAGGATAATTGACGAAGATGAAGAAGTTGAAGCTGACAGAAATGCCAACCATCTCCCCAGTCTTGTCCTTTCTGATACCATGAAAACAGGTTTGAAGAGGGAATTTGATGAAGTCTTTACAAAGAAAATGATTGAGTCCATGTAAGTTTTAGTAACTGATTTCCATTTAATTTTGATCTTGGAGGGAAAACCCAGTGTCTCTAGACACTGTCCATCCTATCCTAGCCAACTCTTTATTTCCTGATCACTGGGCAAGTAAAAGCATAGTAGATTTTGTATCAGACCATGTTGGAGACAGGCTTTTTCTTCATTCGTTGGGGATGAGCAAAATGTTGTGTAATCAGGAGTTTGAAATATGCAGGAGCGACTGCCTTGTCTTCTTACCTTTTGGTTCTTGTAAAGTTCTGAAATACTCTCCAGTCTAATTTTTGGAAATAGGAGGACTGGCAAGAGAGAAGCCCATTCTCTTAAACTCTTGTGGTAGGATATAGGAACCACATTTGAAGCCTTGTTACCTGGCTCTCTCAGTTATCCAGGAACACAACTATGTCTAGGCAACAGAAAAATAAGGTGTCCCAGCAGTCAAAATAGTTATCATGAAGGCCACAAATCAAAGCTCATATTCTTGGTTCATAACAGCCCCTCAGGGCCTTTAGCAGAGCTCTTTTGCTCTAATCTAAACAGTTTATTTAATAAACTCAGTCATCTGGTTTCCTAGATCATTAGAGTAGAAACACAGAAATAGTAAGTGAGAGCAGAACAGACTGCTAGTAGGAAGTAGTGACAACAGTGTGAGGACAAGAGAGGGAACTGGAAAGCAAACACAAGAACCTAAAAAGCAAAGTGACCTGAGGCCTATTAACATAAGAACTAATGGTTAGCCCTGTAATCCCATAGTCCCTGCTCCTAAATTATCTCAAATCCTCATTATTCGATATGTAAAATGGTAGTCTCGTTACAAAGTGCCATTTAGGTATTGCCTAGAAAAGACTATATAGTTTTGGTACTCAGTGAAGGTAAAGTTTTGGGTATCTGAAAAAGCCTCTTAATATACCAGTCCCAGTGGTGCCAGGTTGATGAAGCATTATTGCTTTGGACACAATGGAAGTGATTTGTGCCCTGAAGTTTAGTTGCTTCTTGCTATTAGATCACAGAAGTTTTGCATTAGCACCCTAACTTGAGTTTATAATTACCTACCCAGCCCTGAGGGTAGCTAAAAGTAAGTAGGTCACATTGCCTTCCAGCCTAAAACTTAGCACTTTCTGCTCTTGGTGGTCTTCCAGAAGCTAATCTATGGGGGCAGCTTCATCCTTTGTGTTTTATTTTTTTATTTATTTATTTTTTTCCTTTTTATCTTTTTTACTGACCGGTAACGGGATCGCAACCCTCGGTGTCGCGCCCGTACCGGGGACCGGCAATGGGATCGCAACCCTCGGTGTTGCGCCCGCACCTCGCTCAGCCAGTGAGCGGGAACCGGTCTCCACATGGGATCCGAACCCTCGGCGGGAGCGCCGCCGCACTCCCAAGCAGCGCACTCTCCAGTGCGCCACCGGGCCGGCCCGTTTGTGTTTTATTTTTACCTTACTTGCCTTTGGGTCCCAGAAACTGTCATTGCCACAGGAGTGGGAGGGGTTTGTGTGTGATATAATCGTTTTGGCTTAACTGCACAGCATTATACTTCATAGCTATACCAAGCAAAAGATATCTGATACTTGTAATGTGATTGTCCAGTGTGTCATTTTCATTTATAGTGATGATTTTTTTTTTTTTTAAAGATGACTGGTAAGGGGATCTTAACCCTTGGCTTGGTGTTGTCAGCACCACACTCTCCCAAGTGAGCCACGGGCCAGCCCTCATTTATAGTGATTTAGTGCAAGATAGCAACCCAGATCTGCTAATACCACAATTTTTAAAAAAATTAAAACATTAAATCAAAGGCTCTTTCACATTGGCTGTTTATATTACTTTTAGTCACGGCATCAGTACAACCAGTTGTTTTGGTGAAAAATGTGTATAGAACTGTGAGATTTTATGTATTTGAGTGGTCTTTCTAAAGATCAGTTTGGATTGTCCTAAATCCCATTTTGATGCCATCAGTTCTTTAAGGTATCAGGTAGCAAACATTAGCTTTTCAATATATAGCTTTTTTGGGCCGACCCCGGGGCGCACTCGGGAGAGTGCGGCGCTGGGAGCACAGCAGCGCTCCCACCGCGGGTTCGGATCCTATATAGGGATGGCTGGTGCACTCACTGGCTGAGCGCGGTGCGGCCGGTCACAAAAAGGACAAAAAAAAAATCAATATATAGCTTTTTTAAAAATGTCCTAAAATTTTTGATAAAATTCTGTATTTTATGTTTTAGGAGCCGTCCCTCCATGGAGCTTGTGCTCTGGAAACCTCTCCCTGAACTCCTTTCTGATAAGCCAAAGCCATCATCTAATGCTAAGAACTATGCAGGAGAGAGCCAAACTAAGCATGCAGTTGCTGGCACTACCTTCCCTCAGAGAACTGAACTGTTCTTGGAACCTCGGCAAACAGGGATGCCTCTTTACAATAGTGTGGAGACAGCTGCTAGCACAGAAGAAGAGATGGAACTCTAGAACCAGTTTCTATACTAAAGTTCTCAAGTTTTAGAAGCCTCCTGTGTTCAGTCATGAGCCTACTTGTGTAGCATAGGGACTTGAAAGTTTTATGAAACGGGTGTAATAATACCTCCACCTGTGATTTGGGGTGGGACTCTCATTTTGGGTAGCCATTTATTGAATTCAACTTTTTGCCAAGGAAGCTTGTCTCAAGAGAAAAGCAGTTTCCTACAGAGCTTTTTAAAGGAATGTTAGATTACAGTCTTTTCAAAGGCAAGTATAGAAGCTATATGTAGAAGAGTGATTAAGTCACCTGCCACAGTGTCTAAACCATTCAGACACTTGGAAAATATTCTCCTCACGTTGAAAAAAAGATGATTAAGAAAGAAGGATGCTCCTATAACTGAACCCTGACAGTTGAATCACAGCTTAGTCTGTAGATATCGGCTGCTTACAGTGGTTACTATATATGATTGGGGAGGAGGGAAGAAAGCAGTAGTTTAAATGTATTGCTAAGAAATTTAACAGAGGCCCTGAAACTTGTATACTGTTTGTCAATTCAATGTAGCTGTATTGATTAAATAGCCAATAGCATTGTGGCACTCCTTTTTGCCTCTGAAAATGCCATAAAAATACAAAGGAAAGGTTTTTCCTTCAAGGCTCTTTTGCCTTGTGCTACTGTTGCTCCTTGATTTCCCTTGCATTATTGATAGGCCCAGTTATTCAGTAATGTTTACAACTTAATTAACTTTGAGTGATAGTTAAAAAGGTAACTATCTGCAAATTGTGAGGGAAGCATCCGTTAGTTAATCCTAATAAGGAACGCTGTATTAGTTAAATCCAACATTGATAGCGTCTGTAGTTTAAAAAAAAAAAAAAAAAAAAGGTTGTACTTGTATTAGCAAGTTGTTTTTTAATGTTAACTTAGAAAACTGGTTTTTAAAAAAAATTAAATAGCTATTACAACTTTATGTACTGGGGGTGTGGGGGGGGGGGAGGCAGCCGGCAGGTATGGGGATTCAAACCCTTAATGAATAATTAACTGAGAGTATATGGGCAAGTGACACTGAATTTACTGAAACAGCCAGTTTGTCTGGTGCTTAATCTATTGTTAAGTAATCCTAAAAATTAGTGGAGAATAGCTTCCTGCCAGCAGGAAATCTTCATCTTCTTGAATACCTAACTAAACCAGGCTCAAGGTGTCCTTTGGGGATAACCAGGATTGAAGTTTTACATTTCTCAGGAAGAGCTCTTCTGTGCGGCAAGGACTTATAGTGCAAAATAAAATGACAATTCCTTTATTGCTACAGAATATTCACTATAAGTTATTAAATGAGTATAATACTGTGATGTTGGCCTTTCCATCACACAACAGGAGACCATCCCAGTTCTTTTTGTTTTGTTTTCTGGATTTCTTCCCCCTTTGTAGGAATCAGATACCTTTTGTAGAAAAAAATGGTTTATGCCAAGTATAGGTGAATTTTTAGAAACCAGCTTCCAGGCATTTTTTTGAAGCCCACACTGAAATCCCTCCCCTTGTTGCAGTTGGTGTAGAAGTCACAAGTCTGTTAATTGGACTGTTTCTTCTCCAGCCTGTTGTTCCTACTTTCTCTATTTCTGTCTGGATAGTCAGGAAAAGATGTAATGTTTAATATTTAAACAACATATTTAATGTCTACACAGTAAGATTTTTCGAACTTCAAACCAGTATTGAAACCAGTTGGAAACCAGCTAATAGTTTCTTAATCTCAGACTTAGAGATGAATGTAAACTGTATTCTGTTGAAATGTGCAAGTGTTTGATTCATGCCATTTGAAAAATTCCTGCCTTGAGGTCACTGTTTAATGGGACCAACTTGTAAAGTTTGTAGCCTTAAAGAAATCTTTGTACTTAAAAAAATTTATTCTAATACAAGTCAAAAACATGAAGTGACTTCCCAGAGTTTTGAGTTAGTCCCAGTGTTAGGGTGGAAAGGGAGATGATATATTTCCAAAACACACCAAGATTGTCTTGTGTAGGAATTGTTGGGCAGGCCTCTAATCAAAGGCCTACAAGATGAAAAGGAGGAGAAAAGAGCCCTGAAAAACAAGGCTATGATACTATTGGTAAATATAGGAGACAAATCCAAACAGAACTTGTTTGAGGAGTCAAGTTATCTGACATAAATATTTCTGCAGGAAAATGAATGTTTCATGTTCCATTTTGGACTTTATCTTGCATATGTTTGTACAAAAATTGTCTTCATCCTTGTGGTGCTTATTCATCTGAGCCGTGTCCACAGCCCCAATGCCTCTGCTTTTTGTTTTTCTTTTGTAGCATAAAGCTTTTGCTTTTGCCTTAAGGTTTCCCTAGGGAATTAACAGGTCTTTTCATTTTGTATAGCTTTTGTAGCATGGATCAAACATTGGCTTATTATGCTAATGTGTAAAGAGAAAAAGTTATCTAAAGCAGGTGAGCTTTAATGAACAAATGTATATTTTCTCTGAGTTTGAATAGGGTGTGTATGGTTTTTGGGTTTTTTTGTAATTACGAAGAAAGTAAGTCCAGTTCTCACAAATTTTAATCAGTTTATAAGAAAACTACTCATTCTTGAAAAGATAAAAATGTAAAATTTAGAAGAATAACTAGGGTAGGGGCTAGAACCATGAGAAGTATGTTTACCACCAGGTTCATTTGTTGTTTTAGGTCTGGAACTTAGCTTTGTTTTTTAGTAGTGACAAGAATGGTTCGGTACTAGGAAGGTTCTGAAATATGCTGTCAGTTTTACTTGGAAATGAGAATCTGGTGTTTCTGTATTTTACCATTTTCAATAAAACTTCTTAAGTGTTTTGGACTTAAAATATTTGATTCCTGCCCTTAAGTAAATGAAATAATATCTCTGCTTTCCTCTAAATTGTAGTTGAAGCAGCATTTGTATCAGTGAGAGACTTACTTAAATTTATCCTGAAGGGATGATTTTGTTGGGTTAAAGGTAAGTTTCATAACTGAATTAGCTACTTCCAAAATAGGCAGAATGTGTTCTGCTATTTAAAAATGCATAGAGGGCTGGCCCGGTGGCGCACTGGAGAGTGCGCCGCTTGGGAGTGCGGCAGCGCTCCCGCTGAGGGTTCGGATCCCATGTAGAGACCGGTTCCCGCTCACTGGCTGAGCGAGGTGCGGGCGCAACACCGAGGGTTGCGATCCCGTTACCGGTCAGTAAAAAAGACAAAAAGGAAAAAAAAAAAACGCATAGAGGCTGGCCTGTGGCTCACTTGGGAGAGTGCGGTGCTAATAACACCAAGGCCATGGGTTCAGATTGCTATATAGGGATGGCTGGTGCGCTCACTGGCTGAGCGCGGTGCGGCCGGTCTCAAAAAGGACAAAAAAAAAAAATGTTCAAATGTGTAGTTGGAAATGGTACATAGAGTTTGCAGAGAGGGGTTTGGGACTTTTAAAAAATGAGGAATAGAAAATTTTGTCTTCAGTTACATGGCTTCTTAAGAGTTGACAGATCACTGGGTGGCAGTATTGCCTTCATATTTACAACCATTCTTTGATAAATGTGGATCCGTGATTTGTTGGGCAGGGGGAGTTGAGTTTGGGTTGCAGTTACAGAACAAAGGATATTCTTTTGTTAACCAAAATTTGGGAATCACAGCTAAAAGTTACCTAATTTCTTCATTTTACAGGTTTGGAAGCTAAAGCCCAAGTAGATAGGGACAATTATCTAATTATAGTTGGAACTCACCAAGTCCAGTGTTCTTTCCACTTGCCCAGTTGGTTTTATAGTCTTTTTTGTAGCAGTACCTAAGTGTTGTCATTTAGATTTTATTAAATAATCTACAATAAAGGATGGTGCAGGCAGTTTAACATTAAACTCCTTGAGGGAGTGTAGTTTAGTGTCTATTAGTTTAGTTCACATCTTCCAGCTGTTAATTCCCTAGTTCACCAGACTACCTGTGGCATTTTATAGATGAAGTAGATGTAGTCAGCATAGTGTTTGAACTACAGCACCAGCAAGACAATGATGTCTCTCAACTGTTTGGTGGGTAAACAAGCCAGTCTTCTTGTCCCTTAATGAACTTAAAAAGTCACAAGGGTACAGATTCACTTCTTAGGAGACTAGAATTTAACTGATTCCTTAAAATATGCCTGAAGTGGGCAGTATTACCTTCTGCCTACTGTTCTTACTTTGTCTCTGCCTCAGTAGTATATCTAATAGAAAAGCAAGGAGGCAGATGTAGATTGGTGTTACAAGGCCCAGGGAAATGGTGTGCATTTTGTTACCTGCACCATTAATTTCAATTATGAGACAACTCTGCATTTAATGGAAATCTTTCTTTGGTTTTGTGGGAAGACATTGATTTTTAGTTCTAACCATTCAATTTGAAAACGTTTCAATATGAAAATGTCCTTCAATACCAGGTGTTTTCTCAAGGATGAGCAGTGTTCAGTAATTTTCATCCATCTGTGCAGGAAATGAAAACCTTGATAACCTACAGGTTATGTTTGTCCTGTTAGTACAGCTGCCTCTTTCTTTTTTTTAAAAGATGACCAGTGAGGGGATCTTAACCCTTGGCTTGGTGTTGTTAGCACCACACTCATCCCAAGTGAGCTAATGGGCCATCCCTACATAGGGATCCAAACCCATGGCCTTGGTGTTATCAGCACCACACTCTCCCAGGTGAGCCACAGGCCAGCCCTTACAGCTGCCTCTTTCATGTGATGTCACTGAATGTAAATGACTTGAGCCTCAACCTCCAGATGCTTTTGCTTTATGGAGGTTAAAACACATCTGTAATTACATATACCTTTACAATCCCTAAGTAGATTCTGGGCACTTAAGTTTTCAGAATTATAATCAAGTAAAATGAAGTTTTTAATCGTGGGGACAGCTGGAAGCTGTCTTTAAGTTTTCGATACAGAAACTTAGAGCCTAAGCAAGCTTGCATTGCTGAGCCACTAAAATTGGGTGCTGGCTTCAGCATCCAGATCTTAGGCTGACTTGCCTTCAGGTGTGCTTGTGGACACACCTCCAGTCACACTAAACGCTCCTTCGTACTTGGCTGAAA